GCTTTCCTGAGTTCTGTGAATAATCAAACCTAAGGAGGGGGTCATGGGAACCTCTGATTTATAGCCAGCCAGTCAGAAGCACAGGTAATAATCTGGACTTGTGATTGGCATCTAAAGTGGAGGGCAGTTATGTGGGACTGAGCCATTAACCTGTGGAGTATGATGCTGTCTCCAGGTAGATAGTATCAGAATTGAGTTCAATTGTAGGACACCCAGCTGGTGTCTGAGAATTGCTTGGTGGTGTGGGAAACCTCCCTCTCCCACTGGAATTGGGTGCAGAACCTTACTGGTCTCGGGGGGATCCACACTAAGACATATCCTTCACTACAGTGCTGGGGGAGGCAGGGTGATTTTACCCACATTTTACTGATGAAGAAACTGAGGCCTGGAGAGATTAATGGCTTTAATGGAATGTAGATGCCTGACTCCCAATTCACTATTTTTTCCTCAATGGTATGCCTTGGGGCTGCCTAAACTCCTGTTTAATATAAGGGAGGACACTGGGTTGCATTAGGTAAAGACCGATGAGGAACAAAATCTTTTGCTGCTCTCTTTATTTTAGTTCAGAAGAACAACAGTGGATTTGTTTAGAAAAAGCCTTGCCTTTTGATTAGAACGATTCATACCTGAATTGGTCATGGGAGCAAGATGAGATTTTTAGATTTTTGGATAGGATATTATGGAAGGGTTAACTGCCTTTGTTGATCCCAGGGTTGAGACCTTCAAGAAAAGTCACAGAAACATAGAATATCAAACATGGAAAGCAGTTTTTAGGTCATCCTGACTAGTCTAAACTTTTCTTTTACAAATAGAAAAGCTGAGATTTAAAGAGGAGAAAGTCCTTAAGGTCAGTAGGTAACAGAAATTAGGATCTGAGAGAAAGTAAAGGAAATATAGGCAATTAGATTTGGGTTGTTTGTGCTAAAATCAGGAAATCTATGAGAACTTCCTAAGTCAGGCATGGTAAAATGGAGCCAACTCTGATCAATGGGTGGGGCCACCCATGTAGAACTGAGCAAACCTGTGAGGTTTCTATCTAAGTTTGGTGAGAAACAGTTAAATAATTGGTTAGTGATATCTGCCTCGGCACAGGTGAGTACTGTTTATCTGCCACTACGTAAGACAAGGTCAAGGCTGGGACAGTGGTTAGACCAAAAGTTGGAACCCTCAGGTTGGAATTTGGAGGGGTGGCAAAGGTGAAAAACACCAGTGAAAAACAATGCCTAAAGGTGGTGGCTAGTCTGGTGTTAACGTTACTCAGCCACCCTAAATTACTTTTTTTGCTTTACCCATCTCCTTTAGGATTCTATCATATCACTTTGGAATCCCAGTAACCTTGCAGAATACAAACAACACACTTTATTTTACACAACAGAAACTTAAAGCAAAAATTCTGGGTCCTGCTCCAAATTTTGCATTTAGCCTCTTAGTCCCACCTAGGTCTCACTTTGCCCATATGCAAAATAAAGGTTTTGGGCCAGATCAGAAATTCTCAAAAAGCATTAAAAGAACCAGTAGCTCTGTAGGATGGTAGCAGCTATCATGTGGAATAAAATAGGTTTCCATGATCAATTTCTTTTGGAATATTGCTGGATTAATAAAAACGATTTTTTAAACTGGACTTCTTAAACCCTTAAAGTGATTGTTTCAGGTATGCAGAGTTCCTTAAACTTGCTTAAAAACAAAATATACCATACAGGACAGTCTCTAAAGATCTTTTAGCTTCGAAATGCTATAGTTCTTTACCAGTTTCCTTTGAGAATAGAGATAAGAAGCATAATCAATGATTGGCTCATTTTAGTTGTCCCCTATAAACATGATATGGTGTTCAGTTTTTACCCGCCATGTTTAAGTGGCTCAAAGCAGTGGCAACCATGGGGGTCATTTCTTTAGTAGAGCATTTGAAGATAAATTAATCAAATTGAAAACAACTGAAACCATTTGGTCCTTAAGAACAGACTAGGTTATTTCATTTACTTTAATGGTGTGACTGGCGACAGAACCAACTGGCGAAATCCAGAACAGTATTGACTAAAAGGGCTTTTTTTTTTTTCAGACATAGTTTTTGTCAGCATGGCTGCTATGAAGATTTTCCATCTGAAAATCTTGAGTAGCAAAATCCTGCTTTGTGTCCTAAGCTGTGTGATGAGTTTAGCTTTGCACACAGCATGGGGTAAAGTTATCATGATAATACACACACTGTTAGAGTCTCCACATGTGTGGTAGAATTCTAGGTGCCCGACCCAACTCCAGCTGCCTGTCTCTGTCTTTAGAGACAGTCTACTCCCTTCTTTTTCTATTCAGAAGAGGCCATACCTATTTGATCTACCTTTTTTACAAGTCTGGTCACAAATAACTTCATACTCTCCATACCAATAATTTTCATCAAAGACTATTTCAGGGTCAGCATTGCTATACAAGAATGAACGTACAGTGGCTATTAACCAGGGCACCATCAGAATGATCTATGTAATTAAAACAAATAGACATGTTCGGCCCCACTGGAGATTTTGATGGAGAAGATCTAAAGTGGGTGCGAGCATCTGTATTTTAAAAAACTCCACAAATACAAACCACATGTTCATCAATAAGAGACTGGATACACAAAGTGTGGTTTATTCATACAATGGAAAGCGACTCAGCAATAAAAAAAGAAAAAGCTGGTTATTCGCAGTAACATGGAAGAGTCTCCCAGACATTAGGTTAAGTGAAAAAAGCCAGTTACCAAAAACAAAACAAAACAAAACAAAACAAAAACCCACAATATAGAATTCTATTTATATAAAGTTCGAAAATAAGCAAAGCTAGAAATCAAAATTGCGGTTTTTACTAGAGAAGTGGGATTAATCACAAAACGACACAAGTGTACTTTCTGGGGCTGATGAAAATATTCTATACCTTGTTTTGGGTGATGGTTTAGACAGATACATACAGTTTCAAAACTTGAACTGAATTCTTAAGAGATGTGCATTTTTTTGTGTATAATTTATTGCTCATTTAAATAAAACAGCCTAACTTTCCTGTAAGTTCCCAAATTAGGGTCCTGTACATGTGCCAAAGCCTGAGAAATGATCATTTCCACACAAAAGAAAGGCCTAATCCAGCTTAGCCCAGTTACAGCTTCAAGAAATGGAACACTTCCATATTCTCTGCCTTATATCACACAATGCCTCATTTTCATTGACCTTCCAGAATTCTCCCATCCTTTATGTCTTTTGGATAATAAAACTCTAGAGAACTCTACGTACAACAGCTAACTTAATAATAAACCCACAGGTTTCCAAGAGTAGTGCCCTTTTCCTGTCTCCATTTCAGTAGCCACATCTGCATTCCTGTAGGAGTCCCTTTTCTTCTAGATTGCCTCATATTTATTGAGTTCCTACTATGTGCTGGACCTTGTTGTCTCCCTTTACAAGGCTATGTCATTTTCTTTTCAAAATAACCCTGAGAAGTAGATATATTTTTACTGGCTTCTCCATTTTCCAGATTAGCAGTCAAAAAGGAAAGGTAAATTAAGAGCCCAAAGGTGATATCAGGCTAAGTGGAGGATGCAGGCTTACAACAGTGATTGCAAAATCTCTTACAATTTAAGGCTTCTTTCCTTCCAGGACCTGAGGGGAGAAAAGCAGATATAGACTTTGGAAGGAGAGATACAGCTGAGTCTAAAAAAGACAATGTCTTCCCTTGACAATGCTTTTCATGCCTAGTTGCCAGATTCAAGCTAGCCAGGCCCCACACACCCAAGTAGCCCCATGCTCTCTGGCTTGCCCCTGGTGGTGGCTTAGAAGTGTTGGCCTTAGGGCGACTTTTGTTTGGTAGAACTTAAAAAATCAAGCAGGAAGCAAGAGGGGAATGTAAAGATGTCTTTACTTTTAGGGTTCTGACTCTCTGAGATCATAGGAGTGGGTTCCCGTATGGGGGCGGCAAGGCACAAGGAGAAGCATTGGAGCAGATTCTCTGTGTGTGCGTGCTCGTGTGTATGTGTGAGTGGGGGTGGGGGTGTCTTTACTTTTAGGGTTCTGACTCTCTGAGATCATAGGAGTGGGTTCCCGTATGGGGGCGGCAAGGCACAAGGAGAAGCATTGGAGCAGATTCTCTGTGTGTGCGTGCTCGTGTGTATGTGTGAGTGTGAGTGTGTGTGTGTGTGTGTGTGTGTGTGTGTGTGTGTGTGTGTGTGTGTGTGTCAGCGCGTTTGTGCGTGGTGGGGGGATTGCTGTACCCAGCGCGAGGCACTGGGGGAGGAGGAAGCAGTAGCGGAGCTCTGAATAATTGATTCTTCAGCCGCACCAGACGCCCTGGAGCGGGCAGAGAGCGTGGTTTCAGCACCACGGACAGCGGCGCGCCACCCAAGGCGCCTCCGCCTTCAGGCAGCTACCTATCCTGGCCTGGTCGCCACCGTGCGCTCTGGGAGCGGGTGGCTGCGCTCCGCGCCACCGCCAAGGGACTGCGGGGTCTGCCTCGGCCCGCCTCCGAGGAGAGCGACTGCGGGCGGGAGACGCTTTCTCTTGCCAGAGCTCTAAGCTTCTTTGGCTTTCGCGGAGGCTGCTGCGTCTCATCGACTGAGAACAAGTCCTTAAGTTGGTGTGGGGGCACCCCTGTCCTCCCTCCTCCTCTTCCTCCAAGGCGACCACAGCAGAAGCACGCCCCGGGAGCCTGGCTTTGCCAGTGCTGTGAACCAGGGTGGTCAGGCGCTCCTCGGGACTCCCGCTGGGAAGTGGGGAGCTGAATGCCCGGTGCGAGCTAGCCTCACAGCGAAGGGCCCAGAGGGAGCTGCCTTCCCCCCACCAGCACCTCTCTCGGCCAGGGACCGCGGGGATCCCCGGCTACAAGCACGCGCGCGCTCCCACACACACACACTCGCCCTCACACACACCAGCCCGGAGCCTGGGCTGCGGAGAGGGCTCTTGGGCGCTCTTAGAGGACTGGGCAGCTGCTGTTGGGAGTGGGGCAGGAAGCCGAGCTCCGGCTCTTGGAGGGAGGCGCCGAGGGCTTAGCCGGAGCATGGGGTCGGGTGAGCGCTGAGAGTGCGGCCGCAGCTATCAGCCCTGGAGATGACCAGGAGCGGCCACTGCTGAGAACTATGTGGAGAGAGGCTGCGGTGAGTGCTGGCGCGGGACGCGGGGCCTGGGCCACCCCTTTGGGAAGAGGATGGTGGAAGGCCTGGATAGGAGGGGGAGGCAGGACCGCAAGAGGGTCGTTGCGTGGGAATGATCGCACCTCCCTCGGGGATCCGGGACCGCCGGAGCCCGACTCCTTCCCTCCCCCTCTCCTCCTGCCGGCTCATCGCAAACTCAGCCAGCCCCCACCCCACACCCCCTATTCCCTCCTCTTTTTCTCCCTACCCCCCTCGCTCAGCAGCTCCTGGCCGCACAACTCCCAGCAGCCGGAGCTGGGGAGGTGGTAGGGGGTGAGGGTGGAGGTGCCCAGTTAGCTTCTCGTGGGCGGCCAACGTGGGGCTCCGGTTTTCCTGTGCGCCCTGGAGCAGAGCTCTCCATATCAGCTACAGGGTCTGAGGAACCGCACTGGGGACATCTCAGGCACGGAGCTTCAGCTCCCATCTCCCGTTGAGTCCCCTGTGCGCACAGAGGGGCTGTGAGCATTGCAGACTGCAGCCTACCCACCCCCCAGTCGGGCACCTCTGGCCCATGGGCTGACCCTGCCTCTCTGTCTCTTCTTCGCCCCCGTAGAGCCCTGCTGCAGAGCCTCCGGCTGGGATAGCCGCCCCCCGTGGGGGCGATGCGGACAGCGCGGGACAGCCAGGGGAGCGTGCGGGGGCCGCAGCATGCGGGAACCCGCTAAACCCGGCGGCTGCTGAGGCGGCCGAGATGCTCGTGCGTGCAGCGCGCCCCACTGCATCTTCGACCTTCTCCGGCTACAGGTACATCCAAGCGGGAGACCTGGGCTCCACGGGCTGGGTAGGAGGAAGACTCGATCCAAGGTAGAGCGGGAGAAGGATCTAGGGAGAGGGAGAGAGAAAACGAGAGAGAGGGAGCATCGGTAGCAAGGCACGAGAAGAGCACCAGGGGGCGCTGAGGCTCCGCAGTGCTCACTAACAGAGTGCCGAGGCTCGTGCGAGTTCACCCCAACTTCCTCTGGCTTTGGCAGCGCTGCGCCTGAGGGGCGCGTGCCTGTGCACACGTGCACGACTGTGCTGGTATTTGCAGGCACAGGCGGCTGTGCACCTGGCGCGGTACATGTATGTGCACCGCCTGAGCACATGAGTGGACTCCAGGTGGCCATGAGCACCTCCTTCAGCCTGCGGGTGTGCGCAGAAATGTGTGTGTGCCTGTGAGCGTGCCTGTGAGCCCACTGCCACGTGCACCTAAGACTTGGTTAGCAGGACCTGAAGTGGAAAGCCTGGGGAGGGGCTGTACAGTTCACGTCGGTCAGAGAGCTTCTTGGGTTCCTACCCTTTCCCCCACGCACGTTCTTTGCCAGCTCCCACGCGCCGACCCACTGACGGACGCGCCTCCTCTCTGGAATTCTGCATGGCACACGGCGTGTGTGAGAAAGGGTGCGTGTGTCCATGTGCGCGCGCGTGTAGAGGCAGGTCCTGGGGCCACTTGCAGTTGAGTTGAATTCGCTTCAGATACCCTCCGCGAGAGGTGGGGCGTGCTCTAAGTGTTTCTCGGCACTTGGAGCCTCGGGCGCACAAACGAGCGTCCTCACTCCCATGCGCTTTGGCTGTACCCTGCAGGAAAGGAGCGGGGTCTGGAGCGGGTGCCACCGGGAGTCAGGTCTCTGCAGTATCCTGCACGTTTGCAGGGGGCGGGGTCAGTCAATTCACTTCCTGCGCTGGAGCAGGGATGCCTTGCTGCTGCACCACCTCTGCACGCTGGGGCTAGTTTGTAGTTCGCTCCTTGAGAGCATGGGGCGGGTTGGTAACTTGGTGCACAGTAGCTGGGGTAGGAGATGGGTGAGTGGAGGGTTTCCTCTGTGCGCCTATGCTCAGGTGCAGTGGTTCACAGCTAACTTGGGGGATGCAGTGGAAGATGTGGACAATTGGGCATTGAGAAGAGGCTGGAGACAGGACATGAAAAGGAGGCTGGTTGCGAAGATGGATTTACAGTCAGGGATGGAGAATCAGCTCGGATTGGATAGAGTTAGAGATGGGTGGACGGATGTGGATGCCGTGGGGGTTGGGGAATGGAGTCAGTGACCTGGCGGTTGGCGCTGGGTGTGGGTTCTGTACCTGGCTCTTAGAGCAAGGGGCTGGGTTGGGAATCCCTTCTGTTTGGAACCCTCACTTACGGTGGCCCTGACCCGCCCTCTCCCCTTGCAGGGACCGTAAGTGGCGACTATGGGCAGACTGGGCTATTGGACCCTGCTGGTGCTGCCGGCACTTCTCATCTGGCGCGGTCCGGCGCAGGGCGCGGCGGCGGAGAAGGGTCCTCCGGCACTGAACATCGCGGTGCTGCTGGGCCACAGCCACGACGTGACGGAACGCGAACTGCGAAACTTGTGGGGCCCAGAGCAAGCAGCAGGGCTGTCCCTGGACGTGAATGTGGTAGCGCTGTTAATGAACCGCACCGACCCCAAGAGCCTCATCACACATGTGTGCGACCTCATGTCCGGGGCGCGCATCCACGGCCTAGTGTTTGGGGACGACACCGACCAGGAAGCCGTGGCCCAGATGCTGGATTTTATCTCCTCACAGACTTTTGTCCCCATCCTGGGCATCCATGGGGGCTCATCTATGATCATGGCTGACAAGGTAAGGCTGGGGAGGTGACAGGCTGCCAGGACTCAGGAGTGTGCCGGTCATAGGGTGGCTGCTAAAGGTCTTCGGGAGCCCTTAGCATCTGCCTCTGTGTGAAAGGAGGTGGTGGCCACCACTGGCCCTGGTGAGAATCAGTTCCTGCCTCTCTAACCTGGAAATCAATGGAAATGTTTTTTGCCCTGGATCTTTCAGTGGGGTACTTGGAAGCACCTTGAATGTGCCAGGAAGAACTTGGAAAACACTGACGGGAGTGGGTGACGGAGTAGTGGACTACTCGGAGATTTCCAAGTAGTGCACAGGCAGGCCTGGGGGCACCTGAAACAATATGGCTTATATTCCTTTAATGCCAATTTTACCTGATTATTTTATGAAAAATGTCCATTTTCCCTTCTTGTGGTAACTAAAACTATTTTTAGAAAAGATTAAATGTGGCTCTGTTATGGAATAAAATGCAAAGTTTTCAGGTAAAGCACAAAAGGGCAGAGAAAGATCATGCTTCTGCAGAGTCTCGGCAATTAAGGCAAGAGGGGTGGGAAGTTTGAGAAGCCCTAGGCCACTGGCCGCAGAGAGTGTTCCTTAAGGGAGCGGGTGTGAGTGGAGACAACTGGCTGTGGACCGAGAGCAGGAGGGCCTGGCCTTTTCCTACATGTTCCTGGAGCGGGGCCGGTGGGGTTTCCAGGACCCTCAGATGGAGGAGTTGGTGCCCAAGGATAGGTTTTGGTACTGGCATTTGGGGAGTGTCAGAAGGAAGGTAAGCATGTCCCAATTTCTTGGCTTAGAATAAGGACTCTCTGTGGACCAGCTGGGAGTGTTGGTTGGCATAAGAAGGGAGAAAGACTTGAAGATTTGAGTGAGATGTTATGAAGACCTGGTTTGAGAATTGTACAGAAGTGGGAGGGATGGAAGAAGCAAAGAAAGGAGGAAGGAAAGGGAAGGATTAGCGTTGTGGGTGTACTGTACCTCTGTCTAAGCCCCAGGAAGGGACTGGGGAGGTGGGAAGGGGAGGAAAGGGTGAGTACTTGCGTGCCATGGTCAGTAGCCCTGAGATCTTCTTGGAGTATGTTCCTTAGGTAGCAGGAGACATCCTAATGGATCAAGCAGATATTTGTTAGAACACTTTCCTTTTGACGCTCTCAAAGCACTTTTATATTCATCAAATCAGATTCTGCCTCTGCCTCAGCAATTCCCACCAGCTCCTGTGGGAACTGTATTAATTCTTTCAGGTCTCCTGGGCTGCAGCACATTCAGCTGAAGTACGTAACTGATGCAGTGTCTTATTTAACATTCATTTTTAAATAGTTTGCAGCCTAGCAGAATTCCTATGTGTGGTTGAGCATTTTCCTAGCTGCCTCTCAGTTTTGGGGGCTCCTTTCTGGGATGAAAAAATAAGTAACAGCTGTGCTCTGCCACCGGCGTATGAGCCATTTCAGAACTGGAAAGGGGCTTAGAGTCTGCAAGAGCATCCTGTAGCTTTCAGATGAAAGATGCAGCATAGGGCATTTAAAGACTTGGCCAAGACCACACAGTTGGTGATGGAACTGGATCTCTGGTTTTCTGGTCCCAAGCTGTGATCTCGCATTCCACCAAAGTTAAGCCTGACCTTTAACTTTGTCGTCCTATCTTCAGAAGAGTCAAGGACTTAATCACATTTTATGGGAGGTTTTGAGCCATGGAGAAGTGCAGCAAATCAGGGGCTTGTGCATCAGGAGTGACTAGGCTTCTGATGAAGACATGAAGAAGAAGGAGGAAATCAGTAATTTCCAGCAGGCGTTTGGAGTGCAATTTGGGGATCTGAATATTACCACAGATCCCTCTTCCCTTCTGAAATTTTGACCGAAGGAGCAACACACAAAAAACAGTGGTTCTATTGAGAGTGAAATTTCTAGATTGATTAGGGCCCAGCACAATTAATGGAGACATCCAGTAAAGCGGAATTAGAGAAGGTGGCTTGAGGCTCAGGCTGGGGGTGGTCCGAGCTGGCAGGTGCATGGGTTGGGCTCTCTCCTGACTTACCCATCTTACTGTAGGCAAAGCAGCAGAAACAGGGAGCGGGCTCATAGTTGAGCACATCCTTGATATGCAGTGACCCTCCCCGCTATGAATGTCAGGCCTGATCTACTAGACCAGCAGCTGTTCCTCCCTGGAAGAGAGTATTAGAAAGGGAGTTTTGAGAAATCCAAGCGGGTATGGGTGGAGGCACCCTCTTCTCCTATGGAATGAAACTGCCTTCTGGGGATTGCGACCCCACTAAAGAATAAAGAAGAAAAAGAGAATCAGGAAATGACAAGAGGAAGATGAGACAGGTCCTTTTCAGAGAATTCAAGATTAGAGAAAGATTTGAGAAGGAATGGAGAAGAGAGGAATGAAAGGGTTCATTGGCTCAAAAATGCTGAAAGCAATTGGATGCTCCTTATTATGATTGGGGCTCTCCGAGTTGGTTTTGATGGAAGAGTCAGAGAAGTCAGCAGTGAGAACACTGAGGGGGGTGCAGTTGATGTTGAGAGGAGTTGGGTTAAAGGGATGGTATTTTGAAAAACCTGGATGTGTTAAAAAAGGAAAGAGATTGTCTGAGATGTGAACAGCCCTTCATTCCATTAGTAATACATCAAGTTGGCTAGTGCCTTTACCACCTGTTTCTTTTAAAGCTGAACACCAAGTTCTGTTTGTTTGGCTCTGAAGAAGCAGTCATGGGACATTGCCTAAATCTTCACCTTGCTTGCTTGACTGTGCCAGTGGTATTATGGCCACAAAGTCTGAATCTCCCCAAACAGACAAGGCCTCTCTGTTTCTCCCCCAAGATGAAGTTCATTTGATAAAGCCTAGAACATACCCATGTTTTCGCTTCTAAACTGGTAACATGATAGCGCCCCCATGGATAAGAATGGTAGTAAATTTGATTAGCAGTTAAATTGAACACCCCTCCCGCCATTTTTTTACCCTTCCCTCAGTCTACTTGGCTCAACCAAAAGAACAAAGCTTTTATAATAATTGAAATGTGCTACGTGACAGATTTTTTGTGGTGTTAATTTAATTTACAACGAAGGTGTTAATTTTTGCTTCTATCAGTGGGTGGTCTTGAGATATAAGTAATTTAGAGGTGAAAATAATGCTTGATGTAAATAAGTTCTAATCTTATCTTGGTTTGGCTATTTTGATTCTGTCCAAATGGAATACTCTTTGGTTGTAGTAATAGCCCCTGGTAAATCAGACATATGCATTAAACCTTTATGTTTCTGCTCAGTGTCCTCATCTCCTCCTCCCCTTTCCCCTTTATTCCTAACTACTCCCTGGGGAAAAGGCAAAGCTTAGATTTTAGTTACATCTATCCATGTGGGTTACTGCATGGGTTTTGCTTTATATGTTATTTCTACACATACCTCATCTCCTCTACTAGATTGTAAGTTCCTTGAGGACACATTTTTAAAAAATATGTTTATGTGTATGTGTGTATTTTAAATAACAAACATTCCTCCGCAGATAGTTTATAAAAACATCTTTTCATTGTAGAGCACCTAGAAAGTACATTAAAGTTTAAAGAAGAAAATAAAAGTCTCTCTAAACCCTATCACTGGGAGTAACCATTGTTGACACTTGGGTCTATTTTCTTCTAAGATCTATTTATTGAGTTATAAATTCAGGATTACACTGTCTATATGGTCTTACTTATTGTATTTTTCACTCTGTGGGCCTTCTTAGTAAGAGGACCCAGATTTTTCTTTAATTCTGAAAAAAATCTCAGCCATTATCTGTTGGATAATTTCCTTTCCAACATTATCTCTGTTCTCTCCATGTGTAGTTTCTATCAATTCTCCATGTGTCTTAAACATGTTTTTCCACAGTTCTCTGTCTCTCTGCTGTACTTAGGAAAGTTTCCTCAGTTCTGTATTTCTGTTAACCAGCTCTCTTTATTTGTGTTTAGTCTATTATTTTCCTATGTGTTTTTAATTTCAACAATGGTTCATTTTTTTTCCATGATAAATAATTGATCCCTTTTCATACTTTTCTGCCTTTTTTGTTTGTTTGTTTCATTAAAAAAAAAATACCTTCTTACTCTGTGGATGTAAATCCCTCCTCTGTCCTTTTGAGGATTTAAAAAGTTGCTCACTATAAAGTCTTTCTCTGATTACTGTAGCATCTTTGTTTCTTTAGGTATGAATTCTTCCATTTTGCAGAGTCTGATCATTGGATGTTATCATACATTCTCTAATTTTTAGTTTGTGAACTTATTTTCAAGGCAATTTTATGATTTCTTCTGCCTTAAATCTGTAAGGCTGTATGCTTTTGAACCAGAGCTAATGTCAGCAGCTCGGCTCAGCTCTCTTCCTTCTTTACGTATTCTATGGTTCGGGCTTGGGTCCCAGTCTCATGTAGATGACTTTGTTTTGGCTCCTTAGTTTTGGCTGTGATTCATGGTGGATTGTGTAGATGTTCCAGCCCCATTCATAGCTAATGGCCTGATTCTGGGTCCAGTTCCCCTGAGTGGATGTTGGGGCCTCTGCTCTCAATGGCTTATATCCCATGGACCATGTGGCTTTGATTCCTACTTGTAATTGTTGAGTCCCATCTTTTGATTCATTTATCTTTAGGGAGTCCTCTCTATTTTTGATCTGTGATTCCCTTTTTTAATATGAAAGCAGTGCTATGTAAATTTTAAAATATCTGAAGATTTATCTGTAAATTCTATGTTTTAGGAGCAGAAGAGTGGGGTTACTTAGTGTGTTCACTCTGATTTTGACTTGGTTATTTTTCACAACCTGCTTTGTTTTTTTTTTCAAACTTGATTATATATTTTTGGAATTTTCCCTTACCATTAAATAGACTTCTCAGACATAATTTTAAATGGCTGCAGAGTATTCTGCTTATACCACAGTTATTTTAAATATTCTTCTTTTTTCCTACTTTTGGTAAGGTTAATTTCTAGTCCACATATATGTCCTTTTTGGCAACTTGTGTGCTGATCTTGCCCTTTGCATTTGTTATTTGGTATATATGTT